CGTCCCTCACGCAAGCCCAACTTGATCGTTTAATGTCTCTATTGGGTACAGGTGATTCAGAAAACATGATCCATGATGCACTGTCTGGTAAGAAATTTCCCTTGGTTCACTTATCAAATTGGATTATTGATAGTGGTGCATCACACCACGTTTCTAGTAATCTTAAAGTCTTCGAGAATATTCGAGAGGCTGGAAGGGACGAAAGAGTCATCATCCCAAATGGGGATTCTTTGAAAGTGAATAAAATAGGGGACATCATGATTAACAGACATATCAAATTAAAGGATGTTCTTTATGTTCCAGATTTTAAATGTAATTTGATATCTTCAAGAAAGTTAAGTGAGGATATGGGTTGTGGTATTACTTACTATTTGAATGTTTGTGTGATACAGGACCCCATCCGGCGGATGCTGATTGGACTGGGTGATCTCAAGGATGGCCTGTATTATCTATGAAACACACATAGTGCTCTTGCAATGGCCGCCAAGAAGAATACAGAGGAATTATGGCACAAGTGTCTAGGACATCTTTCTGAGAAAAATTTATCGTACTTATCTGGAGTATGTGGTTTTGACCGTAACGGTAGTTATATTGAGTATTGTGATATATGTCATCGTGCAAAACAGACACGAATTCCTTTTCCTTTAAGCGACAATAAAGCTTCGCGTGCATTTGAGTTAGTACATTGTGACTTATGGGGTCGGTATCATACTCCATCTCTCTCAGGAGCCCATTATTTCTTAACCATCGTGGATGATTTTACACGTACTACATGGGTATATCTTTTGCATGATAAACCAGAAACTCAAAGGGTATTTATGTCCTTTTGTGCTATGGTTAGGAAACAATTTGGGGTCGATATCAAGATAATTCGTAGTGACAATAGAACTGAATTCTTTGGGACTTTCAACGAATTTTTCCTCAGCCAAGGAATCATTCATCAAACCTCTTGCATTGCGGTGGCGAGAGCTTTACGCTTCCAAGCCAATTTACCTTTGAAGTTTTGGGGGGAATGTGTTATGGCAGCAGTTCATCTAATTAACTACACTCCAAGCAGTGTGCTGGGAGGTCGCACACCATTTGAAGTGTTGTTTGGAAAAATACCCAATTATTCTCACATTAAGGTTTTTGGGTGCCTTGCGTATGCCAAAAGGCAAGGCATTGGAAATGATAAGTTTGGAGAACGTGCCGAGAAGTGTATTTTCGTTGGTTTTCCATATGGAAAGAAAGGATGGAAAATGTATAATTGGGAGAAAGGAGATATCTTCACATCCCGAGATGTATATTTCTATGAGGAAGTCTTTCCTTTCAACAACAATGAGGCAGTCAGAGGAGAACGACTCCCAAGTGAGGGGGAGCACGTGATTGTGGAAGATGAAAATGAGCCATTTAGGGATAAGAGTCTTGTTGGGACTAATGGCAACCAGCATATAGGTGCAAATGAGGAAGGGGTCCACGCAACTAATGWGGAAACAAATTCAGAAGAACATCAAGGAACGAATGCGTCTGACCAAGYTGCAGTGAGCACACCACAAAGAAACGAAAATGAACAATCAGTTCTGCGACAGGAGCGACCCCAACGAGAAAGAAAACGGCCTAGATATTTAAGAGACTATGTGTGTGATGCGATGTTACCACCATCCAACGTGAACTCAGTCCGAAAGGCGGCCGCAGGTAAGGACCATTCTCTAACACACTACATTTGCTATAGTAAATTTAGTTCAACTCATAAAGCTTTTTTAGCGGCCATCGATTTTCATGATGAGCCAACCAGTTATACACAGGCAGTCAAAGATGAACGATGGATTAAGGCAATGGACAAAGAAGTTAAGGCCCTGGAAGAAAACAAAACATGATAAATTGTGAGTTTGCCTCCAGGAAAGAAAGTGATCGGATGCAAATGGGTCTACAAAATTAAATACAAATTGGATGGAAGTATCGAACGTTTCAAGGCAAGATTAGTTGTATAGGGCTTCACTCAAAGATGGGGAGAGGATTATACAGAGACCTTCGCCCCAATAACAAAGCAAGTGTCTATTCATGCTTTTTTAGCAGTGGTAGTAGCAAAGGGATGGGAACTTCATCAAATGGATGTAAACAATGTGTTTCTGCATGGTGACCTCAAAGAAGAAATTTACATGAAGCTCCCACCAGGTTTCAGCTCCGAAAAACCAAATGTAGTATGCAAGCTACAAAAATCTCTATATGGCCTAAAACAGGCTTCTAGAAACCGGTTCGCAAAGCTGACAGCATCCTTGCGTGAGTATGGTTTCAAACAATCCACTGCGAAAAGCACTCTCTTCATATACAGAAAGGGAAACATCTTTCTTGGTCTCTTGGTGTATGTTGATGACATTATACTAGCTGGGAACAATTCAGAAACATGTGCAGAGTTCAAGGCATATCTCAACAGTTGTTTCAAGATAAAGGACCTAGAAAATTTGAAATATTTCCTTGGGATAGAGGTAGCTTGGTCCACTACTGGATTGTTTTTGAATCAACGCAAGTTTGTTCTGGACATTTTGAAGGAAACTAGACTGACTGGATGCAAACCCGTAGACACCCCAATTGAGCAAAATCATCATTTGGGGTACGCCAATGGGATTTTTCATTCTGATCCCAATCA